ACCAGACCAGATTTCCAAGAAGTTATGAAGGGAGTACTATACCGAGAAAATTAAATACAGACACAGAAATAAGAGTTCAAAAACTAAGAAAATGGCCAACTTAATCATTAGGACAAGTCTGGTGTTGAATATTATATCCCAGAATTTAATCAGGAAGATTGAACCACAACAGAAGATAGATTAAGTACATGAAACTGAACTGGTGAAACAGCATTTTATGACTTCTGACTAAAACATTGCTGATTTTCTTCTAGGCTTCATTTCCTGCATAAGAGTTCAAAAACTAAGAAAATGGCCAACTTAATCATTAGGACAAGTCTGGTGTTGAATATTATATCCCAGAATTTAATCAGGAAGATTGAACCACAACAGAAGATAGATTAAGTACATGAAACTGAACTGGTGAAACAGCATTTTATGACTTCTGACTAAAACATTGCTGATTTTCTTCTAGGCTTCATTTCCTGCTTTTAAGGATTTGTGTCCTGTCTTGAGCTGCCAATAGGTTCATGCACCTACTATTTGAATAGAATCCTAACCTGTTTCCTGACTTTAAGTGTTAAGCAAATTTCCTTAGCATTTCTTTGATTTATTAAAGTTAAAACAGCTTTTCTTGAAATTATCAGCTGACCTTGCTATTGAAAGTAGTTAGATTATTTAAGAAATTGTGTGGTCGATAACATATGGGGGAAAAAAGAATGGAAAACAACTGTAGATATCAGACATAGTGTGGGAGGAGGGTAAGAAAGGGCAGAGGGACAGAAATAGTGTGTATATATATACATATATATATATCCTATTATGTATATATGTGTATAATAGGGTATATATATGTATATATATATACACACATACACAATTTATATATGAAACTAGAAATGGAAAATTATTGACGATAACATGCATGATTAAGCCACTATACAGTATATTCTTGATGGGAAATCACATTTTGTATGCTGTGATGATGCTTAGGGTATGAATGTAAATTAATTAATTAAAAATGTTTCAGAAATAAAAAAGCTCATGGGAGTATGTGTAATGGGAAAACTATGTATGAGTTTAAAAAGATTTTTGTACCAAAATAAATTCATACTTTAACTGTAAAAAAAAAACAATATAGTAATACATATGCTTCCTTATTAAAATATTACACAGAAAGTTCTAATACCTTCCATAATTTTGAAATACCGGTGATATTTCTAGTTACTGGCCACAATTGTAATGTGATATGAAAACACCTGTAACCTCTATGGATGGCACTGTCTTAGGTTGTGCAAGTACTATTAATACACGGACATCGATGGAATTTTAAATATCTGTAAATAAATCATTCTGCATGGAAAAAAAAATACACTATGATATTGGGGCCAGCATGATGGAATGGTGGTTACAGCTGCTGGATTCTTCATGACTGCCAGCACAGTTCAAGTCCTGGACCTGGGGTCTTGAAAAACAAGCTAGCATGTATGCATACATGCCCCAAATCCCTAAACTCCTAAGAGAAGAATGGAGGAGAAGGGATTGCAGCATGACCATCCCCCCTGGGAGGGTGCTTTCTCACTTTCTCTGCCTCATTCCAGTTGAGTGTACACATCCTATAGCAAATTAAAAAAAAAATAGTATGATATTGATGGAAAAAAATTGAAATATAGGGACTAGCAGTTGGCATAATGGCTATGTTGCTGGACTCCCATGTAATCAACCATGGTTTGAGTCTCGGACCCGGTGGCTTAAAACTCACGCCAGGCGGGTGTGCATGCGTGTCCAAGATCCCGAGAGGAGAGTGGAGAAGAAGGGATTGCTATGTGACCATCCCCCCGGGGGGCTGATTTCTAACTTTCTGTCTCTGTCTTTTGGGCGAGTGCACACACCCTATAGGAAAAACCTTCCAAAAAAAAATTGAAATATAAACATACTAAACTGTTCTCAGAAAACATACCGTTAATAACAATATTGGTGTTGTTATTCTAAAAATTAAATATATGTTGCATATTATGTGTATGAGAATAAAGTAAATTAGTAAGTACATAATTTTCGTGGAACCTGTTATGTTACCAACTGAATCTTTTGTGTCTTCCCACAATTCACATGTTGAAGTCCTGATTCCTGACATTATTTGGATGTGCAGTCTTTGGGACTCATCTAACTGGGTTTAGATGAGATCATAAAGTGGGAACGCTGATGACACGATCAGTTCATTTATAAAAAGAGAAAAAGACCAGAACTTGCTCTCTCTTTGCTTTGTGAGGAAACAGCAAGAAGGCAGCTGTCTCTGTAAACTAGGAGGCCCCCATCAGAATCTGACCATGGCAGAACCCTGATCTCAGACTTTAAGCCTCCAGAATGAAGAAAACAAATGTTTGTTTAAGCTACCCAGTCTCTGGTATTTTGTTATGGTTGCCAGGCTAAGGCAGAATCCATGATGAGCCTTTATTAAGGAATATAAAAAGAATAAAATAAAGAAAAGTAACAGAAGCCTGGAAAGGAAAAAACAAACAAACCTAAACCATAATTGGTTTACATTATGAGTACTAAATTGGTGACCACTGAATATTTTCCCCTTTATAACTAATAGTAACGCAAATGTGAAGACTTAGGGGGAAAGAAATAATTTACATGTTATTTGCTCTAAAATGTAGAACGACTATACCAACAAAAGAGAAAGTGGCTCCATTTTCTGGTTCTGATGGAGAAGCTGGTATCATACTAATCCCCGAAAAACACTGAAAAGGTCCATAGAAAAAAAAGAAGTTTTTAACAAAAGTTTATTTACTTCCTCTGAGTGAAAAAGACAAAAAACAGGCACCACCAACAGGGTTGCTACAGTGTGATACATCAACTACCTTGGTCAGCCCAGATCACTGGGTGCATGCACCTAAAGTACATAGAGAGGCCATAAGATACAAACCCAGGACCTTCAGTGTAGGTCCAGCTGTGTTACAGCTGTACCACCACCTGGCCTCCGAAAACAAACAAATAAACAAAAACTCCAATTATTTAATGACATTAATCAATCAAAGCAGATAGGAAAGCCAAGGTCCTGATGACAAAGCAAACATGTTGAACTAAACCGACATTCTGTATGGAATTTCACCTGAAGCATTTGCTAACTTTTAAGCTGAAGACCTACTATGGTGAGATGCCAAAAACTTAAGCAGAAAGCAGCTGCTAAAAGGATAAAAATCTAAGTAGAAATTTTGGCAGCCTTACAGTGCCAGGGAGACAGAAATTGAGTTCAGATTCTCCCAAAAAGTAAAGGTCTTGATAATCTTCCAGACTGAGGCCCCAGAAGGACTACACCTAGGTCTAAGAACACACAGTAAACAGACTATTCTTGACTAGATGAAGGTGATTGGGTCATATTTTGTCTGCCAGCCAGAAGCAAATGAAGTAATCACTAGAGAAAGACAGCATGTAGACAGTATTATTCACAGCCTTAAAATTTTTCAAACATAATTTCCGGTATTCAGTCATACATTATGAGATATATACAGACAGGAGAAAAATGACTGAAAACCATTAAGTATTTAAGTAAGACACTAAAGGGCTAGCCCATGGCCTGGTGGTTAAGGCTGCTGGATCCCACATGGCCAACCACATGGTGCAAGTCCCGGACCCATTGGCTTAAAACACGCAAATGTGCATGCAAGCACAAAATCCCAACAGTAGGGAGAAATGGAGAAGGGACTGCTGCATGACCATGCTCCATGAGGAGTGCTTTCTTGCCTTTTTACTTTCTCTCTCTTTCTTTCTCTTTCCAGTGAGTACATGTACCCGCTGGCAAAATATTTTTAAAAAGACAATAGAAATAGCACCAAATAAAATGGAATTTAATTAATTCTCATTAATATTGTTACTATTAAAATTAACTTATATTAGTTAATATGATTAATATTTCTTTGTTTTGAAGAGAAAAGGTTTTTTAAAATTTATTTAACAATATTTATTTGAATTTGACCAGAGAAGGACAGAGTGAGAGAGAAAGAGAAAAAGTAAGAAAGCAAGCTGCCAGGTCCAGGACTCGAACCGCAGTCAGCCATGTGGTAGTCCAGCAATCTTAACCACCATGCCACCTGCCTGATTTATATTTCAAAAAAATAACAAAATGATGGGACCACCAGATGGAGTAACGGTTAAGTTGCTGGACTCTCACGTAGTCAACCAAGATTTGAGTCCTGAAACTGGTGGCTTAAACCTTACATAGGGCATGTGTGCATGCATGCCCAAAATCCCAAGAAGAGAATAGAGGAGAAAGGAGTGTGGCATGGCCATCCCTCCTGGGGGGTGATTTCTCGCTTTCTGTCTCTCTCCTTCTCTTCAGCAAGTGTACGTGCCCTATAACAAACAAACAAACAAACAAACAAACAAAAACCTCTCTTAAAAAAGAATAAATAAAAGAAGACAATCTAACCAGAGAAGTAGACCCCACTAAAAATATCCAAATAAGGGCCAGTAGGTAGTGTAGAGGTTAAAGCAGCTGGATCCCAATGGCTGAGTCCAATGGCCGACTGCATGGATCAATATAAATTTCCTTAGCTAGTCCAGGCTTAAAAAGATCTTAACTTGCTCTAGATCTCAAACCTTTTCTTCACAAGTAATGGTTTTTTGTTGTTGTTGTTGTTGTTTTTTGGAGAGATTTTCACTGTAGGGCGCGTGCGCTCGCCAGACAGACAGAGAGAGACATAGAGACAGAAAGCGAGAAATCACCCCCCAGGGGGGATGGTCACGCCGCAATCCCTTCTCCTCCATTCTCCTCCCAGGATCTTGGGCACGCACGCACACGCGCCCGGCGTGAGTTTTAAGCCACCAGGTCCGGGACACGAACCGCGGTCGACTACGTGGGAATCCAGCGACATAGCCATTACGCTAACTGCTGGTTCCCTTGTTGTTGTTTTTTAAGAAGGATCTGTAACAATATTTCAAGGATGTGTCTCCACCCTAATCACCTTGGCTATTACCTCTAGTAATGATATCTTGATCCCTGCTCAACCTTTACTTACCAGGGCAGTATCTTCTTGTCCCTTCCTTCACAACCAAACTGGGTTCCTTCCCTTCTTCATCCAATAAGGTAATCACATTTGGTTTAACAATAGAAGGTCCTGCTTAAGAGAAAAAGGTGACATAAACTATAATCCCAAAAGTTCTTAGATTCATATTTGGTTAAATTTATAACTAACTACAGTTCAAAATGGTACTTTATAAAGTCTAAGAGCAAAGAAGGAAAAACTGTTGAAAACCACAAACAAGTGGAATCAGAAGGTGGCATAATATTTAAGCACTGGACTCCCACATAACTGACTGTGATTCAAGTCCCAGACCTGGTGGCTTGAAACTCATGCTGGGTGCATATGTGTGCATGCCCAAAATTCCAAAAGGAGAATAGAGAAGAAGGGATTTTGGTGTGGCCATCACCTGGGAGGGTGATTTCTCATTTTCTGTTTCTCTGGTGAGCATATTCGCCCAGATAGCAAAAAATTCTCTCTCAAAAAAAGAAAAACACTCATGTTAGGGTAACCAGAGGATGACAAATAATAGATACTAGATGGTTAAGAGCAGGCTTTAATATAAGTTAAACTTTCACTCTGATAGGTGGTGCGGTGGTTGAAGGCACTGGACTCCCACATGGCCAACCATGGTTCAAGTCCTGGACCTGGTGGCTTGCTCTCTCACTTTCCCTCTCTCTCTCTCTCTCATTCTGTCCTTCTCTGGTCAAATTAAAATAAAATAAATGAATGAATAAATAAATAAAATAATTTTTAAAAATATATAACTTAAACTTTCACAGGCTGGATTTAGAGGTAATATTGGGTAGTACTTGAGAACACAGGCTCTCATTCCAGACTGCCTGGCTTCAAATTCTACCTCTGTTGTTATATTACCACAGCAAATTATTAACCTCTTGTGGCTAAGTTCTCTCATTTGAAATAAGGATAATAATAGCATCTTTCTCACATAGTTTAGAGGACTAATTAGTAATGTACCCTTCTCAGAATAGTGTCTGAGCACAAATATACACAGTGATATGTTTATATCACATATAATACATGTGCGTATTAGCTGCTTTTTTTTTTTTTTTGTAGAGGTTTTTGTCTTAGGGTGTGTAAACTCACTGGAGAATGAGAGAGACAGAGAAAGTGAGAAGGAAAGTGAGGAATCACCTCCAGGGGGAATGGCCATGCCACAATCTCTTCTCATCTATTCTCCTCCTGAGATCTTGGGCATAGACACACATACTCCCAGCGTGAGCCACTGAGTGTGGGACTCAAACTGCAGTCAGCCATGTGGAAGTCCAGTGACAACTGCTATGACATCTGCTGGCCCCTAGCTGTTAAATTTTACTGTTACTATTTTTTTTAAGAGATTTTTACTATAAGGAGTGTGTGTTTGCCAGAGACAGAAAGCAAGAAATTATCCCCAGGAGGGGATGATCATGCAACAGTCCCTTCTCCCCCATTCTCCTTCTGGGATTCTGGGCATGCATGTACAGGTGCCCAGGGTGAGTTTCAAGCTGCCAGGTCCAGGACTCGAACCACGGTCAGTCACATAGGAGTCTAGTGCCTTAGCTACTATATTACCTACTGGTCTCCTATTATTACTGTTTTGGTGAAAGGATATGAGGCTTTCTTAGACATTCTTAGATCCTTTCTAGGATAATCATTAAATATTAAATGAAGGGCCAGCAGGTGGCGTGATAGTTATGGTGCTCCCCATGGCGCTGCGTGGTTTGAGCCCCGGACTTGGTGGCTTGTTTTCTCACTCTCACTCTCCCTCTCCCTCTCTCTCTCTGTGTGTGTGTGTGTATGTGTATCTCTCTCTGATCAAATTAAATGAATGAATAAATAAAATTAAATAAATAATTCTAAAAATAATTAAATGAAAAGTTTGTAGATTTTAATTTTCCACCACAAAGCAGGTAGAATTTAATATATCTGTTAATAGAAAAAAGAATATACTTGAGTTTTAAATGAATTTTATGAATTCATCCCATATCATACATGTTCTGCAGGTTCCTTTGGTTTTTTTTCTTTTTTCTTTTTTTTGGCGGGGGGAGAGGTTTTCACTATAGGGCGCGTGCGCTCGCCAGACAGACAGACAGACAGAAAGCGAGAAATCACTCCCCAGGGGGGATGACCACGCCGCAATCCCTTCTCCTCCATTCTCTCGGGATCATGGGCATGCACGTACACGCGCCTGGCATGAGTTTTAAGCTGCCCTTTTAGGCCATCCGCTCGACTACGTGGGAGTCCAGGGACATAGCCATTACTCTAACTGCTGGTTCCCCTTTGATTTTTTTTAGAGAAACTTTGAACCCCTCTGTATTCTTCCTGTAGGTGGATTAGAAAGGAATATGAAACATCTATGTCAATTCTGACCTCAAATGCAATGTGAAATCTCATTACTTCAACAAGCTTTTTGCCATATTCAAATCTGGCTCCTTGGATTACTTACAGATTAGCGTGTGAACAAAGTCTGATAAACACAACAGGTGGAGAATCATTCAATGTTAAATGAAGGGGCAGAGAATCATTCAATGTTAAATGAAGGGGCTTATCTCTAACCCAACAAAGCTTATGCCATTCTTTTGGGAGTAGAGAGTAATATTATCTAATAATCTAGTCCTGAAGTTGACAAAAGAGAAAGCTAATATAATTTGTGATAAATTGCCTTACCTAGTGAGAGGAAATTGCTATAGTTTTCCCACATTACATCTCTGTACAAGTCCCTCTGAGCATGGTCCAGGAATTCCCATTCTTCCTGTGAGAAGTCTATAGCCACATCTCTGAATGTCACTAAACCCTAAAAAAATAAATTCACGTATTACTTGTGAAAATAAGTTAAATATGTTTAAAACTGAAAAGGAAGGTATTAAGGTCTACATTGCAGAGAAGGGGGCCACATAGCAGCAAACAGAGCAGGGTTGAAAATTTACGACATGAGTAAGAGACAGTAAGAAAATAAGTACTGCTGAAGCAGAGTGCCTATATGTTCTTGAATACTACTATGGTTACAGATAAGATTAAATTTTTATCTATACATATCTGGAAATGAATAAAATAACCCCAAAATTCCCAGCTAAATGAAATGGTGTACACAAGTTTACTGTAATATTAGGTGTCTCTACCGCCGATTCTTTTTTTAAAAGAATTATTTTATTTAACTTTATTTATTTATTTTTTAATATGACCAGAGAGGGACAGAATGTGTGTGTGTGTGTGGGGGGAGTGGGAAAGAAAGCCGCCAGGACTGGGACTCAAACTGTGGTCAGCTATGTGGGAGTCCAACGCCTTAATCACCATGCCACCTGCTGGCCTCTCTACCATAAATTCTTAAGAAATACGAGGTCTGAGGCTAGCAGGTGCTGTGGTAGCTAAGGTGCTGGAATGCCACATGACCTACTGCAATTTCAGTCCTGGACCTGATGGCTTGCTTTCTCACTTTCCCTTTCTCTCTGGTCAAATTAAAAATAATAATAATAACAAAATTAAATAAATAATTCTTGGGGAAAAAAAAGAAATAGGTCTTCCACTCTATTTTTCCCTTTAAGTATCATGAAAAAAAATTTCTCCTGAATGTACTACAAAGTTTAAATTTCAAACAAACTCAGATTTTTATTACATTTTCTCTACTATAACCAATTCTTTAGTAAACATTTAAAAATTTGCTGCATGGCAGTCCATATTTTGAATATATTCTCTCTCTCTTTTTTTTTTTTTACCGTTAAGAGGTTTTTGCCATAGGGCGCATGCTTTCGCTGGAGAGTGGTAGTGAGAGGGAAAGTGAGAAATCTCCCCCCCAGGCGGGGATGGCCACTGCCACATCCCTTCTCCATTCTCCTGTTGGGATTTTGGGTACACACGCACATGCGCCTGATGTGAGTTTTAAGGTCCTGGACTCAAACCATGTTTGATCATGTGGGAGTCCAGCATCTTAACCAATATGCCACCTGCTGAGCCCCAGAGATGATTCTTGATCTATTTGCGGGTCTGTTTTCATTACACTGGTGACAAGAGAGATTGCCAGTCCTAAAAAGTACAAGACAGTCAAGGAGCTGACACTGAACAGATGAGATTAACAATTTATTTGTCACATATACTCACTGTTCAAGGCAAGACATCATACATCATATAGAGCCACACCAGAGTTGTACACAGAAACAGTGAAAAGCAGGGGCTGTTTAAGACATGCTTTATAGTAATAACAGGGTGCGGTTTTCCCTGGTTCTGCAGGAGGATATATGGCTGGTTTGTCTAAATAATTCCATAAGCTGGCAGGGAGGAAAAACCCACTAGGGGGAGGAACCAGGAGGGGTAACTGTCAGTTGGATAAGAAGCCTTTCCTGCTAGATGAAGTGCATATCTGGTGAGAATAGGGGAACTCATGGATAGTTTTGGGGCCTTGACAAAGATGTCAAGGTAACATGTAATTTTAAACCTTACCAATAATGCCCTAATTACATCCTTACCTAATCCAGTCAGTTCCTAAAGCTTTATATTGCATAAGTTCTCAACATATATGGAAACAAATAAGTTAACACTAAATCCCATTTTGTATACCTGAAAAACTTAGATATGTGTAGTTAAGTTTTCCCTATAAGAAATTAAATAGAAACAAATTCTCTTTCAATAAACCAGAAAGCTCAAAACAGGGTCCTCCCACTTAACATCAGTAATTCATTCCCAAAAATTGGACATTCTAACACTACAATATTAACCAGGTACCTATTTTTCCAACATTTTAAATTAGAGCACTATAATGTATTATATGTCAATTCCAACCCTCCAACTGGTTTCACATTTTCCTCTAATATAGACTTAAATAGTACACATGGGTCAGTATACACACACACACACACACATTTAGTATTTTCATCATTTCTCCCCCCTCCCCCCCTTTTTTTTTGTCTTAGGGGCATGTGTGCTCACTGGAGAGAGAAAAACAGACATGGCAAGAGAGAAAATGAGAGCTCACTCCCCAGCTGGGAGGCGGGGGGAGCGGCGATCGCCATGCTGCAATGCCTTCTCCTCTATTCTCTTCCTGGGGTCTTGGGCACACACACATATGTGCCTGGTGTAGTTTTCAAGCCACTGGGTCTGGGACTTGAACCGCAGTCAGCCATGTGGGAGTCCAGCGACATAAGTGTTATGCTATCTGCTGGTCCTCCTCATTCCTTCTATGTAGTTCATTTTTCTCACTTGCTTTCTTTCTTCCTCCATAATCTTCTTCATTTTCCAAGTTGGCAGGACCTTATTTCACACTAGATGAAAACAAGGGCATCACAAAGTACACTAAGGGAAAGCATCTCTAACAAGAACTTAATAGCAGGAGTGGCTCACATTCAGGATGATGCTCTGATTCCTCCTTAATCACCAGCAGCACCAGATTTGTACATTTCCCCCTCCCTTTATAGATTTCTACCACAGGGCACATGTACTCACCAGAGAGAGAGAGAACGTGAGAAATCATTTCCCAGGGTGAATGGCCTAACCACAATCCTTTCTCCTCCATTCTTCTCTTGGGATTTTGGGCATGCATACACACGCACCTGGCATGATCTACAAGTTGCCAGGTCTGTGACTGAAACCATAGAGTCAGCCATGTAGGATCCAGCTGCCTTAAACCTCCACACTACCTGCTAGCCCCTGCACAGCCCCTTTAATGATATTTACAATTCAAAACACTTACAGATGATTCTGACAGTTTAACAATTGTATCTGGAATACAATAAGACTCTTCTTAAATATTGTTTTTATTAAAAAAGACAGTATTGAACTATATGATTCCACTTAAATAAAGTTCTAAAAATATGTAAAAATTAATTTATGGTGTTCAAAGTTAGGGTAGGTAGGAAATAAATGAAAGAGAGATGTCTGAGGTACTAGAAATATTCCTCTCTTGACCTGGTAGCATAGATATACTCACCTTATAAAAACTCATTCAGCTATATATTTGTGATTTTATACTTTTCTCTATATGTGACATACCTCAATAAAATGTTCATATAACTTTTTTTGGCCATAGGGTGCATGCACAATGCCTTCTCCTCCATTCTTCTTTTGAGATTTTGGGCATGCATGTACACGCACCCAGCATGAGTTTCAAGCTGCTGGGTCCAGGACTTGAACCACTATCAGCCAGGTGGGAGTCCAGAGATGTATCCATTATGTCTTCTGTTGGTCCCCATTTACTGGGTTTTAAGTATTAAAGTCAAAAGTTGTTTCATCAGGAGATGTTAATGGGGGTATGCTCTACAGAGAATCCCTGCATTTGTCTTTTTTTAAATTTATTTATTAACATTCATTCACTGTACATCATTACAGCATACAAAATGAGATTTTTTCCATCCAGAGTACACTGTATATTGCCTCAATCAAGCACAATCAACATACATGTTATCGTCAACAAATAATTTTCCATTTCTTATTTCCTGTATGTTTTGCCCCCCCCCATCCTTGATTCCCTATCTCTTACCCTCTGCAATCTCCCACTCTCCTCCCACACTGTCTCTGGTATCTATGTTTGCTTTCTATACTGTTTTCCCCCCACATTTTATTGAATTACTAAAGATCTTAGTTAATCTAAATATTTTCATAGCAAACACAGCTGATATATACATTTCCATGAACACAAATCTAACTTTAGGCATCCTATAAAGTAGCACCTAGCTGGGGCTATGTATCTTACTGTGGTCATCAAATAGATATTGTTCTGAAAACTTTTTTAAACTTAATTTATATTCTTTTCCCTAAGCATCATCACAGCATACAAAATGTGATTTCCCATCCAGAATATACTGCATAGTGACTTAATCATGTATATTATTATCAAAAATTTTCCATTTCTATCTTCTAGAATTTTTTCTTTACCCCTCTTTCTGACCCTCTGTCCTTTCCCACCCTCTTCTCACACTATCTCTGGTGTCTACAATTGTCTTCCATTCCTTTCCCACCCACATAATATT